ACAAGAACTCCAGTTTCTCGATATTTTTTCTGTACATCCTAACTTCAAATCATATTTCGAATACCAATTTACTGTGTCACACCACGAAACTGGTGTAATGTTTGAGCTTTGTCAACTAAGCCGCACCAAAACAAGTACACCATCTGCTTGCACATCAAAATCATGCACGTCAATACAGGACCTCCGACGTGATGTTTAAGCTTTGTCAATTCAGCCGCACCATTACAAGGAAATCATCTCATTCTTGGCACTTAAAAACGTTGCACGTCAATGTAGACACTCGGCATCCGGTGTGATGTTTGAGCCCTGAGGATTCATCCACTCCAAAATAACTGCGCCATCTCTCTTGCACTTTAAAAACCCTGTACGTCCATACAGGACACCCGACGTGATGTCTGAGCGTTGTCAATTCAGCTACGTCATAATAAGAAAACCATCTCCTTGTTTGCACTTGAAAATATTACACGTCAATGTGGACACTCGACATCCGATGTGATGTTTGAGCTATGTCAATTCAGTCGCAATAAAATAAGGACGCTGTCTCCTTCTTTGCACTTGAATGTGGCGATTTATAGATGCTTGCATTCTACCCATCATTCTTTACTGCTCTCCAGTTATTTTTCCAGTCTTTCTTAAAAAAGATCCCGTCATTTTTGAAAGTATCCTCTGAATGCTCTCTTCAGCTGCCAGTGTTTCCTATGCCTTTTAACTGATACTGAAATACAGCGACACCTTAAACGTTCAAGCAGTGTACTGATCACATTCTTGATGAGGTCGTTCATACTCTCCACTCTGAGCTAATGGCTGCGAAGTCTTCCCGTACTATGCGCCGAAGCTTCCGTCACGTGTCTTGCCGTACATCAGCTTATCCGCATTCTATACTTCCATGCCTAGCACGCTACCTCACGTGTGAAGAAACGGAAACGCACAAGTTGAAATCAGACCTGTCATACCATAACAGATGTGGAGATCGTGTAAAATTTTAGACTTTGAGTACTCTATGACCTTTCACCTTACCTTATCCCTTGCTCTCAGTGAATGGAGCCATTTTTGCTAAAAAAAATTTGGATATCTACCTTCAAAGTAAAGCACTTTTTTCTTTCTCTCTTTTAAAAAGGTTGCACGTCAATATGGACACTCGATATCCGGTGTGAGGTTTGAGCTTTTTTAATTCAGCCGCAGCATAATAAGGACATCACGTCATTCTTTACACTTAAAAACATCGCACGTCAATAGAGGCACAGGATATTCGGTGTGGTGTTTGAGCTCCGTCAATTCAGCCACATCAGATAAAGATCACCGTCTCGTCGGCACTTCAAAACCGTGTACATCAATACAGATAGACGACATGTGATGTAGTGTTTGAACTTTGTCAAATCAGTCACACCAAAATAAGTGCACCACCACCCTTGTACTTCAAAACCGTGTAGATCAATACACACACAAACACAGGACATCCGGTGTGATGTTTGAGTTTTGTAAAATCAGTCGCATCAAGATGAGAACGCCGTCTCCTTCCTTGTACTTCACAACAGTGCATGTCAATACAAACCTCTTCAACATCCACCCAAGTCAACAGATACACCCTCGATAGCAGGCTGGCGGTAACATTAGCTCGACTATGTGCTGATCAAGCGACTGTACTGGCACCAAAGAACGGCTGAGGGGTTCTTATACGACGGTCGCCGTTCACCCTTCTTAGGCT